CTTCTCTACAGCTCGGGACTCCTTCCAAGAATTCTTTATAGGCCAAATAAGTACTTCACATGGTCTTATCATTACAGAGTTTCGTATTTGAAAGCTCCCGTAGGTTACAGAAATAATTAATTAAATTAATTACCACCAGCTATAATCGAACCATTGACCTTGTATGTGAAGGGTTAGGCGCCTAGACCACTAAACTATGGGACCCTAACCAATATAATAAAATTAATTTTTTAATACTGTATATATTTTATTGTATTTATTGTTAATAAATTTGCTATAATAATATTTATTTGTTATATGTATTATTTAAAAGTACAATAATTTTTTAAAATTAATACTCCAAACTTATACTAGTTTTCAGTTTCTAATATATATAAGACTTAAAAAAATATAAAAAATATAATAAAAATATACAATATATATAAAAACACTATAGATGCATTTTATAATATATACAGTAATTGAAAATAAATAAAAAATAAACTAAAATTTTTTTAAATTAATTTATTATTATAATAAATTAATTGTATTTTATATACTATATTTATAATAAATATTTATTTATTATTTATAAATTTAGTATAATTATTATTATTATAGTATATATACTACTGTATATATAATATATATATATATATATACTACTTAAAATTTGGTGCTTTAGATTTCAATTTTTAGTTTATAAAGAGTTTATGCTACGGACACATACCGGTTTCCGGTTCCTAGTAATAAGGTATATATTTAAATTAAAGGTAAAAAATTTAGTAATAAAATAAAATAAAATAATCTTGGTATTAATGCTTAAAATTAAAAAAAAAAAAAGAAAAAAGAAAAAATACAAAATTATAATATTACAAAAAAATATATAGTAAATGAATCATAAAATGATATCTACAAAGTGCGCAATTAATTATTACCATGTATAAAAATGTTAGTCATTTATAATAAGTTTGAAAACACTTTCTAGAATATTAATACCCATTCCTCTTAATACCTCTTTCTCTGCCAAAAATCCATCAACCAACCTTCCAATCATAATTTTAGAATTTTCATAACCCATCACTTGTTTTAACGAATCAGGTATAACCTTTTGTAAAAGTAATCGTTTAGCTTCCTCTTTAGTTTGCAATTTTTCTTCCTCACTTCGTTGTTGAATTAAATCAGCCAAAACACCATCTGGCCAAAGCGATTTGTTCAAATTGTCAATAAGTGAAATAGCATATTCTTCAGTGAAAAGCGAATTGATTGTTAATAAATAAGACTGCTTGATCGCTTCCGTATATGATTTCCGCACAACTCCTCGAAGAACCGAAAGAACTGTTTTTCTAAGATGCCATTGAGATTTATCTGATAAATCAAATATTTCTTCAACAATAGCAAAACTAGTATCAATAAGTAAATCTACATTATGACTAGCCATTTGCATATTAGGTCGAGTTCGTTTTTTAGGAGCTGGTGGTGGTCCAATTAGAGGAACCTTAGATGATTCTAAAGAGTTTGAAGCAGTAACATTATAATGGATATTGAGCCCTTCCAAAATAGGTTCTTTATTGGACTCTGCATTGTCATTTATAATAGTTGGCGAAGTGTCATTTTCATTAGACGATACTGGTGCAACAATATTGCTAGATTCCCATGTTGAAATAGTACTTTCAACACTAGGGCTCACATTAGAAGACATTGGAGTAAGTGTATCCTTGACAGAGGTTTCCTCAGATATTTCTTGGATCATTTCTGTAATTATATTTTGAGAGACATTTAAATGTTCTTGAAGAGAACTATCTGGAAATCTCTTCAATGATAAAGATTCTTCTAAACTATTTTCTTTATTATTAATAGCATCTTGCGTACCAGGGCTTAAAATATTGACCATAGATACAGATTTTGGAACTGATATTGTTGAATTTGCACTCCCATTTTTACTAACAGACTTTGCCAATCCTTCATTTGAAATACCATCTCTTTTCATAAATTTTTGAAGTGGTTCACTCTCACATAATGTTAGGTCGCTCAATAAAATATTTAAATATCTTTCTAAAGAGTTACAAGCCACTTGACTCTTCTTTAACATTAAACGTGGCATTGAAACTTTCTCAGCTTTTGGAAAAATCTTTGTTAAAGCAGAATGCATTTTCTCAAAGTCACTAAAAAATCGTGTCATTATCCATCCAGTAGAGCCAGGTCGTTCTACCTCGATCATATAGGAAAGCGACTTAGTAGAGTAAATATATTTATTTGGTGATGATTCAGACACATCTGTCATCTTAATTCTCACTCCGTTGAGATCCATCTTAGGCATTATTTGGGGTGATTCTGAATCACTATCAGTCATATCTTCTATAGAAGTATATGAATTTCTCTTCCTAAGTGATGATGTGAAATTACTCAATGCATCAACCAAGCTTCCAGCTGAATATGATCTGGAACGATATGTTTCGCTTGTCAGCAGACCGTTCGACTGTTTATCATAACTTGATGAATCGTCTAAGTATTCTGAATTGTTCGAAATAGGGGATAAATTACCCGTTGTATGTCGTTTAAATAAATTTCCCCTTATTGATATTTCTGAAACAGATCTAAGATGATTTTTCGATTGTTCCATTTGTTCAGGCTCTTCAATATACATAAAATTCATATCTTCACCTCGAGTTCTCATCGCCAGAACAAAATCATCAAAATATTCACTCTCCAACACACCAAATACGTATTCTTGTAAAGTTACAAAGCAATTACACGTAGGTGCCTTTAATATCTCTCGCATGCATTGGTTGACTATCATTTCGCTCGCTATTTTTACAGGATATGTAGCGGCATCACCAAAATGAGCATTAAAAATTCTCAAAGCATCTTCTTGCATCAAATTTATATTTGGTTCATCGGATGCAATTTTCCTGAACGAATCAGCTTGGAGCCAAAATCGAAGTAAATTTGCAGCTTCACGTTCTTCCAAAAAGGCCATAAATTCAGCAAAGGCTTCATTTTGACGCTCAAGGATAAATCGTAATTTTTCTGAATTCACAGAACGCATGAATGGCCGAGATGGTGAAAAATTTGGCGATTCTGTAAAATCTTCAACCGTAACATCCGGAAGGATCTCTATAGGTGCATCAATTGAACTCTCTGGCTCTTCAAAAGTTTCAGGATTGGAATCAAGTAGGAAATTTGTTTGAGATGACTTGGATGATGATGTTAATGATTGATCGTTCAACACTAGTTCTTTGTCATCAGCGGCAGACTGAATTGTAACGTCTGGAGGAATCTCTGTAAGTGATTCGACAACTAAATTTTTTTGCTCTTTGAAAGAGGAATCAAGTGGTGAGTTTAACTGATATGATATAGGTGATGATGTTATCAATTGATTGTTCAACATCGGTGATTTGCTATCAGCAGAGGGTTGGCTTAATTTTTCGGATAGACCAGCTACTTCCTCATCAATTGAAGTTGCTAGTTGTTGAAATAAGGTAGTATCATGAGTTTCATCTGTACTTTTGTTTGTCAAATACTCAACAATAGTCCAATTTAGCCAATCGGGATCACACACCGTTTCGAGAGCCGTTCCTAGAACATGCGTTGTCCATAGTTCAGTAAGAAATGCCATCAAAACATGACTTTGAATTTCTTCTGATGGTAGAAGACGCATCAACATTAATTTTGACAAACAACGGAGAGTCTGTATTTGAGATTCTCTGTTTATAGTATGTACAAATGGTGAAGATTTATTTTGTTCGCAATAAGCTTCTAAAGATTGATTTGTTGCAATAAACTTTCTATATTCACGCTATTATTAATATATATAAAAAAAAAAAAATTAACAAGTTATTATTTTATAACACTAAAGTTCAGAACAAGTATTGACTTACCCAAACAATATACATACCAGGTGAATAATGAAAGTGTTTGCGATTGCAAAGCTCGACATAATACCTACTTCCATTTGATCTATTTTTTGAAGGCACAGAGCCAAATTCATTGACATTATATTCATAGCATTTCGTACTTGGTTGGAAAATTCGGAATTTTTATTTGGATTTATCGGATCATAAAAAGAATTAACTAAATCTCGGATAATAAAATCAAAAGTCTTATTTAGTGCCTCGTTTACTTGAGGCGTTATTGAAAGCTCCGTTGAAGTTACTTTTTCGGCACTCTTTATAGCCTTAGTCATTGGAATAATGTTAAAAAATATGATGAAAGCTAGTAAATAAAGATTAGATAGATAATATATTGTGTAAATACCTGTAGAGAACTTTCGATATTTTGCTGTATATATGGTTCTTGGTATATGACACTTTTTTGTCGGCTAGATGCAACCGAATTATTTTGAAGCATGTAGCCAAGTAAGCATCCAAGTACTAATAATATCAAATGTGATTTTTGTAGATGATTCCATGTAAAGATGATAAGTAGATACAGTATTATATAAATCGGCGGGATTTTTGAAAAAACTGGTTTAAAAGTTTTAAGGGCGGGTTCCATCTTTTCCGCAAAAGTTCTCGACGGGAATTTTTCCGAAATCATTTTTATAGAATTCTCTAAAAATAAATAAAAATTTACATTTAAAGTCTTTTGCAGAATTTTGGGTGATTCGATTCCAGATTCCGAAATATGTGGTGTTTCTTCTGGAGTAGTTGAGGGAGTAACATCAGAGAACGCCAGTAAAGCAGGTTGTTCATCGTTATTTGGCGTTCTTTCAGGTGTCATGTTGGTTTTTAGAAAGAGGCTAACTTTTTATAGTTTAGTCTAGAACGTCGACATCAAAAACGATTGTTGCTATAACGAAGAAAGCCGTCTACTATGATGACTCTAAAAAATAAATAAATAAATGATTGTGGCCAAGAGTAAGTAGATTACTTTCGTCTTTACAAAAGCTAATGCACACGCACGTACCGCCGATATTTTTGATTCACAAAAACGACAACTTTAAATACAGCCAACCAGTAATACCGCAGATACGATACAAATTCTAGTGCCCCAATCGGACAAATCATTTTAAAGTTCCATATCCGGTTCAAAAAACTAAGGTGCTCGGGTGCACCAAAAAAATGGTATGCCATATCGAGATCCTTTTGTCGAAATCTGTACCAGGATGCATATAATACAAAATTACTACAAATTTTTTTTGGCACGGTGGCGGCCGACAAGTCAAAATCCCGACCAAGATAAGATCCTGACACCAGGGACGGGGAATACTTTCGCTATCAAATTGGAAATTTTTATCTATTATTACGCGATAAATAGCGAAATTTGATTGGCTACAATTTATCAATTTATTCATTTTATTCCATTCTATTCTTAATGGAAGTAGCCCGAATAGTCAAAATCCTGACTGTTAAAAATCCCGTAAGTCAAAATCCCCGAAATGGTCAAGATCCCAAAATGGTCAAAATCCCGAACTAAGACAAATAGGCACCATGTGCATGATGCATGCATAGAAATTTTTGTATGTGATAAGAATGTTTGATTAATTTCTACAGCTACGTTTATATTTACTATACTTACATATTGTACAGTACTATATCATATTATATTGGCAATACTAGTCTATAGTACCGGGATTAGGGTACCTGGCACAGCAAAAAATTTAAGTGATAATCCGCGAGTAGCTGGCATTAGTATTATAAAGCAAAAACTCTTCCCGACAATTACTTGTACTAAATTTTTTATAAACAAAAATTTCTAAAAAAATTTATCTGGTATTGTAAATATGTGAAGAAAAGGCAGATATTCACAAGTTGGCACCTTTTATTTAGAGATAGTTCTTATATGCTATCTGCTAACTGGTTTAGAGTTTATCACTCACCACAGGAACAGCACTTGTTATTTAGAAGTAGTTTACATACGTTACTTGTCAACAAGCTTAGAGTTTATCACTTACCGATGCAAAAAGCTATTTGTACTTCTCTCCCTCAAGTTAGGATATATACTTTAGGTTGAAGAAAATAAACACTCTTTAAGAAAAAGCTCAAGTAACTCTTCTACCACCTTTTCTGTTTTTTTGTTATTCAAAATTTTTGATAAAAAGTGAAGATTTGGTTTACTTTCTCCAAAAGATCGACATTGTTTACTTTCCAAATTTGAATGAGTATAGTAGATTGCAACTACGTGTCTTGTTTATTTATAGATATAGCACTACTTTATGTAATCAGAATTGGGGTCTTTTGTTAAAATATCCAAGGATAGTCAGAAAGAGTTAAGATGTAGCTTTATAACAGAGATATACAAACGTTGCATTTGTTATATAATTTTTTCTTAAGCTTGACATAGGCTATAACAGTGTATCTTTAATAGCCTCAAAGTTTTCTAGTAGAAGTATCTTCTAGTCTTTCAGTCTTTTTTTTTTTTTAGTTTAGGTTTTTTATATTAGATTAGTCTTCTTGCTCATTATATGATTTTTGTTTTTTTTATTTATTGTTTTTGATTAATTGTTTTTTTCTTTTTTTACTAGTTCTTTTTTGTTTTACTCTCTTTTCTTATCTTATCCTTAGTAAATTTCTTGCAATTTAATGGAATACAAAGAAGAAAAAAAATCATTATAGTATGGCAATTAGGCTAGTTTAACATAAGCCTTCTAATCTTAAAATCTTAAATTAGTGCAATAGATTGCACTTGGACATTTATCCCTTAGATTGTAGTAAAATACAAGCAAATTTGCCTGCATTTTTGCACTTTTTTAGCTCTGATTTACTTTTTTAGAATGCCAAAATATTTAAATAAAACTTTGTACAATTATATTTGAAAATAAGAATTACTTTTTTGCAAAATTAGAGTTTA